AAAAAATTCACTTCCTTCAATCAAGGTCATAATTTGAAACATTATGCAATAATGAAACTTAAATTATGTATGGGAAGAAAAATAGAAGACTGAAAGCAAGGTATCAGAATTCTCTTTAGATTTCAGAAAAATATGATCATGGGTCAATACTGTTCTGAAAGAGGAAGGTCATTAGCAGTTTCTTGAAAGGGACTTCTCCCAACCATGTTTTTGAGCATGTAAAGCAGTCACTGTGATTACTGCCTAGTTTCTAATAATCCACAGAAAGGATTTTTTTCCTTCTTTTTTTTAAGAGAGAATCTAGTTATGCTCCCCAGAATGGCCCCAAACTCCTCGGCCCCAATGATCCTCCTGCTTCAGTCTGTGCAATAGCTAAACTACCAGGCATGCACCATAGCACCAGACTTCCAGCATTTGACTTCTTGAAAAGAGAAATGGTAAATACAAAGGTGCAAAAAGAAAATCCTCAACTGCTTACTTCCCATGGCTACAGTATTCAAAATCAACAATCATCCAGATAGATAAAACTTGAGAGAAAAGATAATAGATGGGTGAGTAACGCAGAAGTAATTCATATGTCAGCTAACCGATATAATTGTGCTTCCTTCTAAAGAAGGTCTTCCATAAAAAACAAGCAGCCTAGTGGAAGAAACCCTGCTGAAAATTTGTCCATTCAGCATGTTAACTAAGGCTCACTAACCAGTTCCATTCCAAGTAATAACACATTATATGGATGAAATGAATAGCAAAAAATACTAAATTCAACCGCTTTTCCTACCAGTTAGAGAATATTTTAAATTTTCAGTATGTTCTCCACTGTCTCTACTATTTTACCTTATAAATTGCTCAATCTTTGTGAACAAACACCAAAAACAGAAAACTAGATACTATCTAAATAATATACAAATTATATTATTATCTAAGCAATAAATTTCAACCAAAATTAGTCTTCGCTAATTGAATTATTTCGGCAAGTTATTTTTAAAAGAAAATTCCTTAGAAGTCCACATTTCTTTTATGGACATTCGTAAATATGCTAGCTATCAAGCTAAATAGGTCAAAAGTATAATAAAATCGACATTATTTTTACCTAAAGAATTATTTGTAGGCACCAAGTGAGAAGACAGCTGCTTTTAAATTTAATACAAGAGCAATCTTTTACATTAATATAAAAGTTCTCAGGACTACGCAGAATCTAAAACTTCACTTTAGATTCATTATAACACCAAAGCAATTTAAGAATGTGAATAGGATAAACTGAAGCTGAATCCTGCAAAAGGAATTTTTAAAAATCAGATTCATTAAGAAATTCAGAAGACAACTAACTTAAACTGTTCTCACAAAACTTGAAAAGGGAATGAATCATAATTTAAAAATCTACGAATCCCGGGACATATCTTTACTGATACCAAATAAGAGTCCAGGAGCAGATATATAAGAAGCACATGTAACACCTAAGTTTAAGATTTGCTATTAGGAATATCTTAATTTTATCTTGGAACAGAAAAAATTCAAATGTAATTTTTTAAAGTGCAATCCCATCTTGCCTTCCTTTATTGATACTTTAACCATTAAAAATTTAGGGGGCTGGGGATATGGCTCAGTGGTTAAACACCTCAAGGGTTCACTCCCTTGTATCCAAAAAAAAAAAAACAATTAGGAAAACAATTATTTAGTTCTATAGTAGTTTGACCCATTTATAATGTGAAAAAATATGAAATCACTTGATACATTTGTAATACACAAATATATATAAACATTTTATTTTAATAATACTTTTTATCACTTCAATTTAAATCATTCCATTATGAAAATTTCTTAATTGAAGAGAATATTTCTTTAAAACTCTAAATTAAACAGAGCTTTATCGATGAAATTTACAGCAATACAGCTTTTAGAAATACATAATTCTTCATTTTACAATACTTCTCCTTTAAAAATTTGTCATGGTTTGTCACATTTTTAAAATACAAGGCACCTAATGCTATGAAATAATACAGTATATGTAGTGTAAGTGTACCAGATCTTTTCTCAAACATTTATTCTCTTTAAAGTTTCACCAAATTTGCATGAACATGGTTGTTACATAAACATTTTTTTTCTGTGTAGTTAATTTGCAATATTCTACAAAACTGAAAATTACAATCCATACCTATTACAGGCAGCTTAATTTAGCATTTTATCTGTCAAAAGCATTGCTCTACATACATACGTGATTTCTTGGAAATAGTCTAGCACTGAACAAATATGTGAAAACCAAGTCTTGAGAACATTAGGATTTTATTCCTTGATTAGTTCAAATGATTTCATCAACTGAATTCCTTGAGATATGTAAGGCAGGTGGGTCCTTTAGATGGACTATGGACTGGAACTTCCTATAATTGTAGTGATATGTACACAGCTACATAGTAAAGTACTTCATTATGAAAATGAAGAAAACAGACATAAGGAAAATATATTTTAGAGTTTCAAAGAACTGAAACTGTTATTTTTCAGACTAGGCACTGAAACATTTTTCTACAAAAACTTGCCAGAGATTGTCTCTTCGCTGCATAATTTTCCATCATCAAGCTAAAAATAAAGCAAAACAAAAAAAAAGCAGAGGTGATTAGATTACTAATTTTCACAGTTTTCATGTTCTATAGTTTATATTTTTAAAGCATAATAATTATCTTAACATTGAAATACATTTCATATGGATATATCTGAATACTTAAACCCAATTAAGAACTAAGGAAAAAAAAAAGTTCTATAGCAATGTCAAAGACTGAGAGTCAATATTACCTAAAGATTGTGTATGAGCAGTTTTATTGCTAGTATATTTCATTACCCCTATAGAGACAGACTCCTGCCAAACTGTTCAATTCGAATGCATTCTATCTTCAGTTTTTACTCTCTCCCTTTTATCCAGCTTTCATTCCCAAAACTACTGAAATATTGCCTGGGTGGAGATGGGTCTGAATGTGAGCATGGGAGTAATATACAACATAGCAGAGAAGGCTAATGCATAAATTATGGCATTAAAAAGCTTTAAAGAAGCTGGACATGGTGGTACATGCCTGTTATCCCAGCAACCTGAGAGGCTGAAGCAGGAGGAGTGCAAGTTCAAGGCCAGACTCAGCAATTTAGTGAGGCCCTAAGCAACATAGTGAAACCCTATCTCAAAATGAAAAATAAAAATGGCTGGAGATGTAGCTCAGGAGTAAAGCACCCCTAGGTTGAATCCCCAGTACCAAAACCAAAACCAAAACAAACTTTTAAAAATAATTGTGTTTCTGGTGGCAATTTTTAATTTGAAGATGGCAAATAAACGTAATATTTAGTCCCATTTTTCCCCCAGAACCTCATTAAATAGACAACAGATTTTTTTTTTTTTAAGGAATAACCCACCTGGAAAAATAAAGAACTGAGAGACAACAAAATAGCAGCCACTCTTAGCTAGCAATGAAGAAATACAAACAGGTATTTCTGTAAGGAGGGGTGAAGAAGCAACTAAAAACAGGAATACTGGAACAATGTCAGGAAAAAAAAAAAAAAAAAAACAGTTAAGCACTCAGGTGCCCTGCCCCTAATGTTTAGAGCTGGTCTAAAACCTCTTCTCTATCCCAAGACAAGACTTACGGTTTATTCTCTAAAGGGTAGTAAGAAAGGGACTCTGGAAATCCTACATGGCTCAGTTATAATTAACATTTATTTAGTCAAAAAAAATATATAAACATTAAATATAGATCTATCTGAAAATATTTAACAACTATACAGAGATGATGGGAAGGTAGGAAAGATATGTGATTGGGATGTAGGCAAGTGGAGCAGAGATTGGCATCTACTTTAGTGAAAAAGTCAAATGAAGATGCCTAAAACTGAAAAATCAAACAGAAGTATAAAAATGATAAGTAGAGATGCAGAGAGGCAAATACCAAAAGAATCAGCTAAGTTTAAAGTGATTTCCTCAGAGTGGGAAAAGAATGAAAGCAGGAGGGCAAGACAGGGCTTTTGTTTTATAGTCTTGTAAAATTTTTACTCAAATTATATACATGTATAACCATCACAGCAATAAAAACTAGGTTAAAAAACAACCCACCAAAGAGAAACACAAAACCAAGATTAGATTTAGATTACATGCAAATTTACCCTGAAGATAATGAAATTTAAGCTGTAGGGCCAAAGAGAATGCTAGAAATTGACAGAAGTTGTACCATGTTCTAGGAAAACTGGGAGGGAAAACCCAGTTGCAATCAGGAAACATTTCAATAAAAATTGCCTAATGATATCTCAGAAGAACCTGAATCTCCAGAATTCTAGTAATTTACCATCTGCTCTTATTCTAAACACTTTTTTAATCTGCCAAAAAAATGCTGAATTTGCAAATCACTAAATATCATCTACTCTTTCTGCTCTCTAAAAAATGTAAGATAATAGTTCTTAAAAATTTTTAAATCTTTTAAAATTTTGAAAATGATGTCTCTAAAACATTGCAAAGTGAAAAGGCACATACAGAGCATCAGGATTCATAATGTGCCAGTTAAAAAAAAACACACACAAACATGTATAAGAAAAGACTGAATATTTACTCAAGTATTACATATTTTCTTACTTTTATAATCAGAAAAAATGTTTTCTAAAACATATCATTAAATACAATAACCTGTAATATAAATATAAATAAGAATTAAAATTTAGTAATCACTAATCTGAGTTGGGCACTACTGTACAAACTTAGAATTTACCAAGTATTTAGGGAAAATGTTATGAAGGTAATTCTATTGTAACACCACTTCCAAATAAAATAACTGAGGCACAAAGGGACCAAGAACTTTGCACAGGGTCACACAGTCAGGAACATGGTAAAGCTGGTATTATAACCCAGGCATACAACTCCAGAGGATATACTGCCTTTATATGTTGTATTGCCTCTCAAACACTAATTACAGAAAATCAATTCTGTGTATACTACAAGAATAAGAACCTTATTCAACACCAATATTCACTCACATACAAACCTGGACTACAGACAACAACAGCTAACTAGCTCCATCCTCCTGAGAGACACCATGCATAGGAATGAGACTCTCGCACTGTTCACTGTCTTCTGAAACTCTTAATAAAAGAAAGCAACAGTTAAGGAAAGTTTCAGAGATGAACAGAAACCTTAAAAATTATCTATTCCACCGACTAAGACTGTGAAGTCAGAATGCAAGTCAGTGGCAGAAGCAAGACTAAGGTAAGATTCTTCAACAATTTACCCCATGTTTTTATAACAAAACGTAAAGTGTCCTCTCTTTAAAAAGAAAGAAAATTTGAGGGCTGAGGTTATAACTCAGAGGTAGAGCACTCGCCTGGTGTGTACGAGGCCCTGGGTTCGATTCTCAGCACCACATAAAAATAAATAAATAAAGGCATTATGTACAACTAACAGAAATAAATATTTTTTAAAAAGAAAAAAAAATTTGAAGCAACACTAACATATTCTATTATGAATTATGTTCAAATCAACAAAAGTTTTCTATATTTAAATTCATCACAGAAGAACAATGAGCATTTTGGTTTTACCTGTGATTCAGAACTTTTTTTTCCAAAAATAGCAATGAAGAAACTATCTTATCACCTAAAGGATCTGAATAAATATTTTATTTTTTAAAGCATTTTTTAAAAAATTTTTCTTAGTTATACATGGACACAATATCTTTGTTTATTTACTTTTATGTGGTGCTGAGGATCAAACCCAGTGCCTCAAATGAACAAGGCAAGTACTCTGCCACTAAGCCACAACCTCAGCCCAATATTTTATTGTTTTTTTTTGACATAACACACGAATAACATAATCTTTCAAATATTCCTTGCAAAATCTCTAAAGGGCAGGTGAGCATGATATGATTCTTAATTTACTTAGCAAACATTATTTTTAAAGTTATATAGGAACTAAACCTACCTCTGAATTCGATGTTTTCTGCATATAAAGGCAAAAATTCTTCTGATTCCTACCATTACAGGATCCCAGTTATTATAATGACATAGAAGAGTTGCAATAAAAAATGAAAAAAACACAGGGATAGCGCCTGCAAAAAATAACCAAGAAAACTGCACCTAAAAAAATAAGAAGATAGAGGAGAAAAAAGTTAAAAAAAAAAAAACTCAATTTTCTTTTCTATGTTTTTTCATTTAGTATTTATTTATGTGGTGCTGAGAAACGAACCCAGTGCCTCACACATGCTAGTCAAATGCTCTCCACTGAGCCACAACTCCAGACCCAAAACTCAATTTTCATTAAAGCAATTTCTCCCTTTAACATGTTTTCCATATGTAAATACTAGCAGAAAAAAGTTAAAATACTTCAAAGATAACACTAAGCCTTGAAAATACATTAAGTATATCATTATTAAATATAAAAATTTAGGACTTTTTATTAAATATAAAATATATTATTAAATATATTTTATTAAATATAAAAATTTATGATTCCATTTGCCTAAATTACCAAAACCAATACTTCTTGCTTGGAAAATGTGCCAAAGAAAAATCAAGAAGGCATACTTATGATTTATTAGGCACAGTATATCAAGAGTCGTACTATTTATAAGTAAAACTTATGTCTTGCATACTACATTGCTCATTTCTTTATTACTGATTATTATCCATTCTCAAGTAGATTCCTTCCCTCAGTTTCTGAAGTCATCATCATAAACTCACAATTTTTAAAAATGTTATATTTTTTGCCATTGTGTTACATGACAGCTCTTAAAACTACTAAAACCAAATAAAACCCTAAACACAAATTTTAAAAACCTTTTATTAACAATTTTCAATAAGTTCTTGCAAATGAAAAAAGTTCAAAAATAAAATAACGACCAAAGAAAGACAATATATAGGAATATTTTGACTAAGAATGTTAGCCAAAAAAGACAAGCATCAAGAGAAGCCTCAGAAGTGAAGAACTTTCTGATGTCACCAAGTGTGATCTTCTAATCCATCATTCATCAGTATTGTCAAGAAAACTAAAAATTATGAGATGCCACAAATTTACCAAAAGGAAAGAAAAAACTCATTATTCCTTTTCACTAATTTACCTTTACCATCTAGACTTACAAGGTATCAAAAATGATTTTCAAAGAAGCCTATATTGATTAACTACTAAGACTTAGGAACAGCACACTGGTCCTTTGTTTTAAAAATAATGATGAAAATAGTAACTTCTATCTTTAAAATAGGGAAGAAAAACTGTTTGCCCTTCTTGAGAGTTAAAAAATAAAATTAAAAAAGGTTACAATCAAAGGCAAGACTCCCTCTGGTAGAAAACATACACTATTCCATTTAATGGCAACATTAGTCAGACACAAAGGGGTTTTGTGAGAAGAGGTTGTGAGGGGAATGGGATAATAAACATGGAGGGAAATGAATTACAGTAGATGGGGTAGAGAGAGAAGATGGGAGGGGAGGGGAGGGGGGATAGTAGAGGATAGGAAAGGTAGCAGAATACAACAGTCACTAATATGGCATTATGTAAAAATGTGGATGTGTAACCGATGTGATTCTGCAATCTGTATTTGGGGTAAAAATGGGAGTTCATAACCCATTTGATTCTAATGTATGAAATATGATATGTCAAGAGCTTTGTAATGTTGTGAACAACCAATAAAAAAAATTAAAAAATTTTTTAAAAAAAAGGTCAAAACAATAAGTATCAGAAAAGATGGTTGGGAAAGGAGGAATAATTTCTACAAAAGGAATAACTTGTACAAAATAAAGTGCAAAGTTCTTAAAAAAAAGAAGAAATACTCAACAATGCATAAAGCAAGAATAATCACTTGGAAATTTTTTAATACAAATACCCTATATGCATGATACCAACTCATAGGGGTTAAGTCGGCCAAACACCACCCAAGAAAGAGTAGTCATTAAGAGAAATTAAAATGTCTTCATTTTGTTACCAAATTCTAGCTAAATTATAACATTTTCTTGTAACATTTACCACAATATTTAATAATCAAGAAATATCAGCACAGAATTGTTTTTTAAATAGAAGGTATACTTCACGGAAAATATTCTGCCTTTATCCCCCAAACTGTACAAATACCTCAAGAAAAATAATAAAAACTCATGGACATATACTTTTATTTCTTAGTATTAGGGAGTAAAAAGCTTACAAACACTGGACTGCAGCTAAGTGGTTCCACTCCATCTTCCAGCATTAGGCAAAGGCACACCTCTTTCTTCCTCTTGTCACTGGGAACACTAGCAAAACCTCTCCCTTCTATACTACTGGTAGAGACACCCTAAATTCTTTTTACTGAAAAGTTATCATTGCCAGTATTTATCACCAGAATTCCTACTCCAGACCAGGATTTCATAGAAAAGGAAAGGGACACTCGACTTGCTGAGATGAACATCCGCTGAGAAACCACATTACTCATGTGCTGCTCATTTTTATGGTAGTATTATCATAGTGTTGAGGAATGTCCGGAAACCAAAATACTACTATTTATGTGATGAAATGTATACTCTATTCCATATACCACTAACTTACACTTCTCTGGAACATAATCAATTAAAAAACTAGAAAATTACACATAAAGATATTACCCTTGACTTAGAAATTTAGAAAATAATTAAAAAGTTGAAAATAGAAATGTACTATTTCTTTAGTACATTTTAAATTTTCATTTAGTAATGCACCTGGGGAGAGAAGGTGTCAAGTATTATTTTATGTTTGCATGCTAATTTAGAGACATCCTTTAACTCTTATTAGGTTTGTTTCAATAACATACCTAAAACATCTCATAGTTTGCCTTACCTTTTGCATACACATGTCAGCTATTATGGATAGAGGTATTGTAAGACTTAGTGCAAGTGTGCCTATCAATGATGAGGTAAGAAAGCAGCCCCTAAAAAGAAAGAAAACATACATTTCTATATAAAAACTATAAAAGAAAAACACTGAAGAAAGATTTTTCTATCCTATAATATAGGCTTGAGAGATCAGGACCAAAAATAAAAGATTAGGATGGACTGAAACACAAAAAATAATGAAGTTTTTAAGATGAATCCAAAGTTTACCTTCAAATATAAATAAATAATAAGTAGAAAATAAATATAAGCAAGCATAAAATTATGCTTACATATATATACTTATAAATTAAAGATAAGTATAAAAAATTAAAAGCACTTTAAGCTATTTTCAAGATTTGCTTACAGATAATATTCAACCTTGTATGTACAAGGCTATCACTTTGAGAAAGTATTATTACAAATATCAGTATAAGCTGGACAACTAGTTCCTACTTATGAGAGGGAACACAAATACTAATGTTTCCACTAGTGTTCATACTACTCACGAGCTGCTCTGTAAAAAGAGGGTTCAGGGTCAGATGAGTAATTATCATTTCTTAAAATTAGCACATACTTTTTGATATTTACCATGCAAAGAATTATTTTTTAAAATGACTTCATTAAAAAACTTATTTAATTTAATCTAGCTTTTCTTTATTTAGCTAATGTTTGAATCCTTTTGTCATCTATTAATATTTCAGATTTAAAAAACAGCATTTAAAATGCATGTAATGAAAGAACAATGAACTAGTATATGAATTCTGCTATCAAAGAGTTTTAGACCAGAAAAAAGTACATAAATTACTAGACAACAAACTAAATGTTTAAGTACTACACAAAAAGGAGTGAGTATGGAATATTATCAACAAAACAGCCATTTCCTTAACTGGGCAGAGGTGGAAGTAGAGTATAGGCAGAGTGCTAAAGAAGACTTCATGGAAAAGGCTACTTTTGTTGTAGTCTTCTGCAAGGGAAAACTAGCCAGCAGTTTCACTTGTATGTAATGAAAGTAATTTTGGAGTTTAAATATAATTTATATTTCTTTTAAAATTCCTATTGTACAGAAACAGGACAAAGTATAAAACTGTATTTGAAAGGTCTCACAAACTCTATAATACTGTGTTCAAAGTTACTGTAAGCCAGTTATCACATATCAACATATTAACTAATGTCAAATATTCAAATATATTAAAATGTCAACATCTCAATTCAATTATGGTATGCCTATCGAACTTACTCATATAAAAGATCTTAAGAATGAATAAATAAAACAAAAAAGCTTAAGAACAAAACAGATACTTCAAAGTCTCTTAAGTAAAGCAACATCCTCTATATTCTCATAATTCATAAATTCATACTTGGTACACACATCTCCTAAGTTTGGATGCCCATTAAATAATGACTACTTTCATTTGCATAACATTCTAAATACTTTTACAAATTTAGAACATTCCTATTCATTCATTTACATATCTAAACATTCATTATTCTACAAGTATTTTTAAGCTCCTTTTATGTGTAAGACCCTACTCTTTGCAGTGGGCACCAAGAAGTTAAAAATTAAAGTCCATGATATAATGGAGCTAATACATTCAATTATTATAAGTGTGTATGGTAATATGGCATTATGTAAAAATGTGGATGTGTAACCGATGTGATTCTGCAATCTGTATACGGGGTAAAAATGGGAGTTCATAACCCACTTGAATCTAAAGTATGAAATATGTCAAGAGCTTTGTAATGTTTTGAACAACCAATAAAAAAAAAAAAAGTGTGTATGGGAGAAAGGTGCACAGGAGGGACTACAGGAAGACAGAAGAAAAATAAATACTTAAACTATCTAAAAGTCAATAAAAATAACTAACATAGGAGAATAAATAGTACATACCACAACCACAGGAACTCAGAAAGAACTGTTCCAATAAGGCCATTAATAATAATGCACATTAATACTACTTTATTTGGAAACTCAAAGTCCTCAAATCCAGTATAATGAAGTAAAAAGAAACCTGGCCACAGGAGTAGTAAATTAAACAGTCCTACAAAACCTAAGTATGTAAAAAAAAAAAAGACAAAAGTTAAAATTGTGATTTGTATCAATTTTCCAAACTCTATACTCTAAAATTTAAAAAGATTAGAATTTGTTCAAAGGATTCCAATAGGTTTCTGTAACTACAACTCTGTTAGCTGTTCTCCCTCCCTCCCTCCTTCCCTCCCTCCCTCCCTTCCTTCCTTCCTTTTTTCATTTTTGGTACTGGGTATCAAACCCAGGGGCTTTACAATCCTTCTCATTTTTTATTTTGAGATGGTCTCACTAAATTGCTGAAGTAAGCCTCAGCCTCCCAAGTCACTGTAATTACAGGTGTACACCACCATGCCCATCTTATTGGATTGTTTTTAAGTCAATTTTGTGAATGAGCAATACTAGATTAAGCTATTCAAACAACTGGTGACCACCACCTGTGAAGTTCAATGATTCACATTGTAAGGGAGCAACTACTATGGAATAAATCACTAAGACAATTAAAAACAAAGGGTTGTTAACCTTAATAATATAGTATCCTAGAACTTAAAAGAATTAACTGGTAGGGATGTGTGTGTGTGTGTGTGTGTGTGTGTGTGTATTCAACTTAAATTGATCATAAGGAATCAGATGGTTTGCTCTCTGATTTAAGTTGCACTTACTTTTTAAGCACCTGTGCTATACTATGAATAATGGTGGAAAGTTCCGAAGAACAAAAAATTATTTGTTTCTGCCTTCCCACTAGTTGGTGAGATAACACATATATGGCAAATAGCTATTCAACATGGGAAATAAGTACAGACTGACCACTTAGAAGAAAAAATTATGCTATATAACAGTTAAAAGTTTGTGCTCCATAGTCTGACCACCCCACTCCGGCATTTGCTAGTAATGTAAATCCTATGCAAGATGAGGAGAACTCTTTCTGAAGCCTTTGTTTTCCAGTCTATAAATATGAAATAATAATATATTGCTGAGAAGATAAAGCAAAATGCTTGCTTGCCATATAGTAGGCACTTAATAAACTTAGCTATTATTATTATAGAAATTACATTTATATAAAACAATGTACATGTGAACATTAAGATTATAAAGAAAAAACTTCCCTTTTCCTTCCAAAACACAAAAGTAAAATCTTAAATAAACATTTAAAGTAAACAGTCTCATAGTTGACTGTATTCTTACCAAAGAACATTGGAATATCCAGCTTATCTTCTCTGTCTACTTTTCTCTTAATCATAACAATATAAACAGCATAAAGCATGGCTCCAATAAGAGACCAAATGGAACCTATAAAAAAACCAATATAATTATTTAAAATCCCCATTCATTCCATTAACTAATTCTATATACACTTATTTAAAATTGAATAATGTGAGAACACAAAAATTAAAATATATGGTATAACTCATTCCATCCATGTCCTCCAGTAGAACATGAAGGTATCATGTAAGCAAATAATGCAAAAGCATTCACTTCAATGAACTAACCACTTATGAGTTAACAATAAATTTCATATTAGTAACATTTCATTTTAATTTTGAAATGCATACTTTGCTTCCCTACATAAACAATTTGGACACTTTACTGACCAACTTAACAAATGCTTCTACCCTAAGCTATAGCTTAATATAGTTTTTCTCAACCCATGTATCATTTCTAATATAAATAAATTCCACCACCATGCCCATTTTCAAGGTTCTGTTAAAGTCCCACCTATTCCACAAGGCATCCTCCCACTACTCTGCTGAATTTCCAACCTGTTTGTCTTCTGTTTTAGAGAATTTAACAATTAAATATTTAACAATTAAATATTTTGTTATCTAGTAATTTTATTTTCATAATCTTATATTCTATTTCAAATCAAGAACAGCTCAAACACTATAAACACACAATTTATAAATGTTCCAAAATACCTAATTTAATGTGGAGCACACAGTATGTGCATAATAAATAGTGGGTCTTTTCTTTAACTCTTGAAAAATTAAGCTTTTAAAAACAACTAAATGATGTGCTTCTGTCAACTGACCACCCAGTACTTTAATCAATTATTCAAAAGGCCAATGTATTATTAAATCTATTTCAAAATTAGTTTCAAACCTTTTTTTAAGCAATGGGAAGAAGACCTGTCAACAAAATCTTGGGACACACAAACACATGTATTGCCTCAGGTACTAAAGAAGCTTCAGAGAGAGGGGTGAAGCAGTACAAGGCACACACAGTTCACAGAGTAATAACCAGGAACAGTTTGGAAAACACTGCTCTATTCAATAAATTTCAAATACTGAAGGAAACCATTAAGCTGGGTTCTGATATACCTTTGTTTTTTGTTAAATCTAGGCAAAGGATCAAAAACAAAGTGTTCACCAGGGAGTAACTTTTAGGCAAGGACCAACAGTGAATAAATTAGTGGGTGAAAGTATGATAGCATGGACTCACAGTATCTCCTCACAAGATGCTTATTCCCTAAAAAGGGAACAATTAATAACTATACATTGGAGCATCCTATCAGACACCACCTTAAAATTAGTATATTAATAATGGGCAAAATCAACATCATGTGTCATCACACAAAATACACTGATCAGATCAGGTAACAATATTATGGTCATGATAGTCTTACCAAAAATCACACAAACTCAATTCAACCACAAGGAACTACCAAACAGACACATACTGAAGGACACAGTTCAAAACAACTGAACAGTACCCTTCAAAAGTGTCAAGGTCATGAAAGATAAAAAGGTTGTAATACAGTTTCAGATTAAAGGAAACTAAGGAGCTATCACAAGTAAATGCAACAAATGATACTGGATCAAAAGAACATTAATGGGAAAAATGAGTAAATTTAAAATGGATCTATAGAGTAGATAAAAGTATTATAATCAATGAACTTTTGTAATTGTGGTATATTTATATAAGTTGTTAATATCTGGAGAATTTGGGTGAAGGTTATATAAGAATTATGTGAACTATTTTTGCATTTTGCTATTTCCAAAGGAAAATATTAAAAAGGAGGATGCATGTGTGTGCACGCATGACAATAAACACAAAACTTACTTTTTTACTATAACAGAGAATCAAGTCAGGAACTTACCTATTGTATCTCTTCCAGCAGATTTTTCAGACCCTGACAGGTTTACCAGAACAACACCGCCAATACTATGAGAATAAGAGACATAAGCGATGAACAAAATAATATACTCCTTAAGAGACTAACCATAAAGATACAAATTATTTACAAGTGATCATGACTAATCTCAACTTTGGATAAAAGTGTCAAAGAATTTAGTGATTAAAAGCTAACAATACTATCAGAATAGGATAGTACAAAAATTGTACTATAAAATGCCTAATATTGCCCTATAAGGAAGATATTACTATTGCCATTCCCATTTTACATGAGAAAAAAAAAGAGATGAAATAACTCGACCAATGAACAATCACATAGCTGAGAATGAAACACAGGCAACCCGGTGTGACTATCTTTCAATTACAGAAAAATAAACTAAATTGTTATCCCTCTGCTCATCTTTGTTTTTGAAGGTATAAATAAATTAAACCCAAAAAAATACAGTAATGGCACTATTATTGTTTACTAGTAAAACCTAAATTAACAGTAAGCTATCCTTTCATATGTAAATAGTTCCATTAATCCCATGATTTTTAAAAATTTTTGTTTTAATTAGTTATACATGACAGTAGAATGCATTTATGTACTTTGATATTCATACATAGATGGGATATAATTTCTCATTTTTCTGAGTGTACATGTTACAGATATATTATTTTTAATTTATATATGACAGTGGAATGCATTACAATTTTTATTACACACATACAGCACAATTTTTCATATCTCTGGTTGTATATATAGTATATTCACACCAATTTGTGTCTTCATACCTGTACTCTGGATAATAATGATCATCACATCCCACCATCATTAATAACCTCATGCCCCCTCCCTTCCCCTCCAACCCTCTACCCTATCTAGTGTTAGTCTATTCCTCCCATGGTCCTGCTCCCTATCCCATTTGAATCAGCCTCTTTATATCAAAGAAAACATTCGGCATTTGGTTTTTTGGGATTGGCTAACTTCACTTAGCATTATCTAGAAGTTTTAATTCATTTAATCCTCATAATACTATGAGACAAATTCTATTACCATCATCCCCAATTTAATAATGAAGAAATAGGCAAAGAGGTTAAAAAAAAAAAAAAAACTTGCTCAAGATCTCAAAATTAGTGATGAAGATGGAACTAATTGGATTATAAGTGGTGAAATGAGATTTCTTGGCTCATCAGAAGATTTCCTTCAAGTCTATTGCTCTGTCAAATTATTCTCATAACCTCAGAAAGTCAATCTCATTAAAGCCAGTTCAAAAACAAAGTGTTAAACAATGTTTAATACAGTGTTTGTAAGAATATATAATATACAAAATATTTCTAAGTATCAACTTATCTAGACAACATGTCAAGCAAACTCTCTTTAGGGACAGAAAATATATATTTTAGATTTGTGAGCCATATGCTTTCTGTTAGAACTCATCTTGGCTGCTGTGGCCCTAAATCAGTCATAGACGGTAAGCAAATAAATGAGAACGGCTGTGTTCCAATACAACTTCATTTATTAGCAAATAATGGCAGTGCTGGGGATGAAGCTCAGTAGTAAACTGCTTGCCTAGCATATGCATGCAAATCCCTGGGTTAGGTCCTCGGCACCACAAAAGCAAAAACTATAACTGGCAGATAGTCTACCTTAGTTTGCCAGTCTCTATTCTAGACCTATATTTTTTTTAGATTTTTTTTTTAGTTGTAGATAGACACAATTCCTTTACTTATTTATCTTTATGTGGTGCTGAGGATCGAACCCAGGGCCTCACACAAGGCAAGCGCTGTACCACGGAGCCACAACCCAACCCCATTTCTAGACTTATTTTATTGAAAAGGAGTAACAGACTGTAAAAATACTTTCAAGTTCAACATTTCATATCCATCCCTTCCATTATTGAACCTTTCTTTATTAAGTAGTGCTAAGAAAATTTAGAAATTAGCACATAGTTGAAATAAAATTTAATAAAACCTCATTTACTTCCCCCCAATACAAATACATTGTATTTGCACAAAATAAAAACACGCTTGGTTAAAACACTTGCCAACTATGCAAAAGAATAAATTCCTAATGACTATAAAGTCTAAATGGCAAGCTAGTTGAGTCAACCAGACTACTCAATGAAACTATCAGTCAACTTTCCTTTATATTTAAAAGAAAAACACGGGGTTAGGGTTATAGCTCAAAGGCAAAGCACTTGCCTAGTACATGTGAGGAACTGGGTTAGATCCTCAGCACCACATACAAATAAATAAATAAAAGGTATTGTATCCACCTACAACTAGAAAGATATTTAAAAAGAAAAAAAGAAAAACATAGCAAGAACTACCAGTCTTTTGTGATTGCCAACTATCAATCTCTAGGACAGTCACTTTCTTTACATTGCCAAACTTTAAAACAAGGTTGAAAAGCAGGTAATATTTTTATGATTTTCTCAAGTAGGAAACCCTCTCAAAGTTTAAGAGAACTGCTCAAGGGCAAATAACAGAGCTCTGATTCAATCCCAGCTCTGACATATTTGAAGTAATGGCACTACTTTTGCCATTAAATCATTCTGCTACCTTCTTTGCTTTCTAATTTTCTCTCACAAAAATAATAATTTTATCAAATCAAATCTTTTTTAAGTAAAGTCTATGGGCAAAGCTCAGTGTTAGGGCTTTGGTGACACAAAGAAGTATAAAACAAGACTTCAGCCTTCAAAGGTTTACAATTCAGAAGGGAAGACAAAAGAAACATACAAAGAATTAAATAAAGATTTAAGTATAGTTACTGACAATACTCCTGCAGTGCAAGTAATAAAGAATTTCCAAATGAATTATATAGAAAGTAAGTAAGAAATCACTGGAGGTTCAAACAATTAAAAAGGACAAAATGTTACATTTCCAGAAGCAGGAGGAGAAATCTAAGCCAAAACAAAAAAGGGCACTTGCCTTAGGAAAATGAAACAGATACTTGGGAAGATATAATGACTACATTGGCAACTTAAGTTAAATGTGAATCTCAGCATAATACTTAGTAAGTCTACAATTATATGAATGGAAACCAATACTGTTTGGGGATGCTTCTCTCTGGTTACTCTATCCAGGAAGATTTGGAAAACTGCTCTAGCATGTGATATAGGGTAGCATAAAGTCCATAAAGTCCACCTTCTTTATCCTCCTGTCTCTTTGCCTGTGTTGCTGTGTAAAATAAACTATCCTGTATCACAACCAAAAATATTTTCAACATCACATTTTTAAACAGAGTAAACTAACTTACACTATATTCTTACCTTAAAATGACAGCTAATAGTTTAGAGAGAGTAAATCTATCTCCACTGTTACTTGGAAACACTGCAGCAAGGATTAAGGTAAAAAGTCCTATGAGGAGAAAAGGACCAAAAAAAAGTAAATGAACTTAAATACTGTCAACATTACTTAACAGCAGGTACATTGTTTAAATAAGTAAACCAGATTTTTTGTGTGTGATATTTAAGTAACTAAGAATGAGACCTGCAGTTACCTAGGCTAAAAATGTTTCAAGACAATAAAATAGCCTCTAACAAAACAGTGTTTATTTCAACAACAGAAACCAAGAATAGTCCTATTTCTTTTTCATTTTTCTTTCATCCCCTCTACCCCTGTACTAGGGATTAAATCCAGAGGTGCTTTACCACTGAGCTACATCCCTAGCCCTTTTGTTTTTTATTTTGAGACAGGGTCTTTCTAAGTAAACTTGTGATTCTCCTGCCTCAGCCTCCCAAGTAGCTAGAATTACAGACATGATCCATGTGCCTGGCTATTTTTATGCTAATAAAAGAGTTAAATTGAGCATTCAAAGCCACATATTGTGAACCTCATCATAATTGGGCCTGTGTACTGAAGTTATTTTTACAGCTTCAAAAATATTTCTTTTATCTCCTAGATTTGGAAGGTGGTTTAATTTTAAAAATAAAACACCTACCATAGTGCAAATTACAGTTCTGAAATAAGCAATTACATTTAGCCAAAGATTCCAGAAAAAGATCCTTGAAAGGAAATGTACAGGATAAAACACCTACAATACAAAAAGCCAGCCTATAAAACTTTTAATATACTTCTGCATAAAAAAAAAAACAGCAAAGTATTTGAAGAAATATAAATAGCCCAAAACTAAGGAAGGAAACTACAAATATTAAGGAGTGATAAAATACTAATGTACATTAGAACTAATGAAATAACAAGATAGAAATATATACACACATATATATCATATATATTCAATATATATTCAACTTATAATACAAATTTCTTACCAGAAGTTGAAGATAAAATATTAACTATAGCAACTTGTGTGTCTGAAAGTGCTTCTTGGTATGACAAATTTGCCAAAAACCACTAAAGAAAAAGAAAAAGTGAAATCTAATGAGAGACATGCTTATATCTGTCGTTACAATTTACAGTCCCCTTTTTTTCTCCTCCTCCTCAAAGCTGTTACTATGAGAGGTTTTTAGAAGCCACTTTGTATAATGATGAAAAATCACAGACCCCCAAAAAAGAACAAAAATGTATAATAAGTAGGGGAACTTCCCCCCCCCCCCGTTCTCCATTTAGAGACAGAACCCAAAAAGCTCTTGTAACTTTGTATACAGTGAAGGAAGTTTTCTAACTATGAGGACTTTTCATTTTTCTTTCCTTTGCACATCTGTGTTTAGGATACCCATAAATTCCCAAACATCTGACTGCTTTGAGTTAAGGAATGAGAAATAATACCTCCTTTTGGTGAACCCTAGGGTGTGTATATGTCCAAAGTTCATCTACTTTCACTGATAATACTTTTTTTTTTTTTTTGTGTGGAGGTGTGGGGGTGAGTGGACATTTTTTTTTAACTATTTTAAACAATGCTACTATGAATATTCTAGGACTACCATTTTGTACCAGTGTGTGTGAGTGTGACAAAAGTACATTCTAAGATGTTGATTGCCCAATCAACTAACTAAAGCAAAGTAACTGCTAGTCTGTTTCCAGTAAGTTACTTACATAGACTGACTGTAAGAATTACTCCACCAAAGAACTTGCCTCTATTTAGGGAGAGACATCTTTTGAATTATCTCAGGACTTGCAGTGAAATAAGTAGTAAAATTATTAGTATTTTCACTTCAAAGCACTAGAGATACGTAATTTTAGGCACCAAAAGGTACAAATGATTTAGAGTGTAGTAGTCTGCATTTGATCTATACTGTGCTGAAGGCTAAAGCCAAAGTGAAACTGCAAAAGTGGTTCTAATTTGTAATCCTGGCTTCTTGGATAATTTCACTCGATTATCTAAATAAGAAAATGAGTACCAACTGGTAAGATGTGAAATATCAAACATACATGAAAATAGGAGCTACAATTTGCCTATAATTGAAATGCTAGAAAAGAGGCAGAGTCTGCCCTTAATTATCTTTTGGAGATTTTCTGCAAGAACATCTGCTTATAGGAGGATAATTAGTTTTCCTGACCCACTTCTCTTATTACCTTAATACTTAAATATTGTACTCATTACCCAACCAATCTCACTGGCTCCTACAAATGCAAAGTAGGGAAATAACAAATCCCTATGGTGGCAGGCATTCAAAGATCTTAAGAATTCTTCACTAGCTACAAACTCCTTCCAGAAAGACCTTCCTATTCCCTCTCAAGCCCAAGGCACCCTCATCACAAAAAAAAAGACACATCTCCACTATCCTCCAATAAAAAATTTCCATACAATAATAATCATATTATTATTCCAGAACTGAAGAAAATATCTTACTAATAATTGTAGCAAATAATTTATATATTCATTATTTCATGAATAGTAATTAATTTTTGTTTTTTGTTTATCTAAGAAAATTTGCTTTAATAAGATAAGTACAAGCCTTTATTCCCTTTGAAATCTTACTTATTTCAATGTAAAAGATAATCATATTACATGGAAAATAGTATTTTTTTTCCTTGTGATACTGTGGATAGAACAAAAAAAGTTACAACCGTAATTCATTTTTAAATTATCTGAAAGAATAATAATTATCTTAATTGTCTTTTAAAAGTTACTTGACAAAAATTGTACTCAAAGTATACATGATGATTTGATAAATACAGGTTGTTTATTGATTACCAATTAATTAGCATCACTACCCATCGTTAGCATGGTGTGTATATGTGTGTATGTGTGTAAATGATCTTGACACTTAAATTTGTTTTTATCAAATTTCAAGTAAACAATACAGTATTATTATCTATAATCACTAGGCTGTACATTAGAATTCCAGAACTTATTTATCTTATAATTAAAAGTTTTTACCCCTTGATCAATATCTCCTTATTTCCCTATTATCCAGTCCCTTACAACCACCATTCTACTTTCTGCTTTTCTGACTTCAAATTTTTTAGAGTCCACTTGTAAGAGAGATCAAATGTATGTTTTTCTGTGCCTGGCTTATTGCACTTAGCAATGTCCTCCAGGTTCATCCATGTTGCAAATGATGGTATGCCCTCCTTTCTTGTGAATGAAAAATATTACATTGTGTGTGTTTGTGTGTATATAAATAAATATATACACATATATTTGATATATAGAGCTACATATATTACACACACATACACATTTTCTTTATCCATCCTTCACTGGACACTTAGGTTTTCCCATTATCTTAGCTGATGTGAATATGGAGGTACTACAAGGAACATGGAGGTATAGATCTCTTCAAGATACAGATTTCATTTCCTTTGGATATATAATAGGAGATAGTCTTGATAAAGTCAATATAACCTAAATAATATTTTACAGAAAAAAAACTAGTACCATTAAGTCCTAATAAGACAAAAGATATTCAAAGAAAATGGGAAAATGTACCAATATTTTGACCTGTTCTGTCCAATAAATTAGACATAAGCCACAGGTGACTATTGAGCAACTGAAATTGGCTAGTCTGAACTGAAACATATTTGGGGTATAATACACACTAGTTTTAGAAAATAATGGTAATACAAAAAATATAAACTATCTCATTGATAATTTTTATATTGATAACACATTGAAATATTTCACATATAGTGCATGAAATTAAAATATAGCATTAAAATTAACACCTCTAGGTTTTGGGGTTTTTTTTATCTTTTAAAAAAATTTGTTTCCTAAAAAATTTAAAGTTATTTATGTGGCCAGCATTTGAGGCTCATGTTATATTTCTACTGAACAGCATTATTCTTGAACTTATCTAGGCTTATCATTCTATCAAGTCAGGTTTCCAAAAAGCTATATACTTGGACTATATTATTCTGACTTCCTATAGAAATGCCTTTACTAAAAAACAACATGTATTTCAGGTTGATTTTTTTTTTTTAATGTAGTTAAGATGGGAGTATCCCAAGTGTCTACTGACAGAAGAATGAATAAAATGTGGTACAGCTATACAATGAAATAGTAATCATCCTTCAAAAGAAATTCTGACATATGGTACAATATGGATGAACTTAAAGGACATTATGCTAAGTGAAATAAAGCAGTCAAATACTGACAAATACTGTATGATTCCACTCATGAGAGATATTAGGACTAGTCAGATTCATTGAAATGGAAAGCACAATGGTAATTGCCAAAGATAGGAATGTAGGAATGAAGAGGTATTATTTAATAAATAGAGTTCCAGTTTTATAATTAAACAAAAAGTTCTATAGATGAATGTTACACAAAAATGTGAATTTATGTAATATCAGTAACATTAAAAATGGTTCAAATGATAAGCTTAAAATTATATTTTACTATAATTTTTTTAAAATTCTTTAAAAAGGGTATTATCTGCACATATCTCTAAACTTATCAAACATATGTATGTAGAGAAAAAAAAACAGTACACATAGTGCTATACTCACCATGGCTTCAGACCACTAGGGGTCTTGGAACCTATCATCACAGTACATTTCTCTCCATGTTTAATGTTAAGACAAAGTTTGCTTTATCCAAGGAAGGTAAATCTTTTCTTTTATGAGACAATAAGCTGTGTTTAAGTCAAAGATTTTCCTTTTTGCCATACTGTCACTTTGCCTACACTATGCCCACCTTAAGTAGCATTAAACTAAGTTATTAATATAATATCCTACTCCACAGCCAGCTCCTTCCCCTAGTACATATTTAACTGGCTCTTATCTTTGTACCTTTGTTTTAACTTTTATCTTATAAATGCTTTTATCACACGTCACCTAAGGTCTCCTTGGAAGGGAAACATATAATTAATAAATTTTAGTCTGCCTTACAGTTATTTAAAACAAGCAAACAAAAATCACAACTAATAACATAACCCCAAAATATAAGCCTTGGAATTATTTTTATTACATATGTAATTAGCAGATTACAATTTTCAAAGATTTTCCTTTGATTATGCAACAGAATATTTTAATCAAGATATCACTTAAGTTGAAGTTATTTGGCCAGGGAATGGACAAAAATGGGCTACTGAGTGGAATCAGGACACAAAATTAGGAAATAACAATCATTTCAATTATACTTACATTGGCACACACTAGTGCTTTACAATGCTCAGTATAAATCTGAATCGTAAAAGCTCAGATTAAACAACCTTGGATTCAAATACTTTCAATGATATGTATATACAAAGTAGCCCTGAAATTAATTTTTTTAATTCTATACTTTGGAGTTCTCACTCAGACAAGTCTCTAATCCTAGTTTAGCCCAAAATAATAATACTTTAGTTATTACATCATTATTCTATATGAAATCTTAAGTACAATTTTCAGTTTCTATATTAAAATAACACACTATAAATGATACTACCAAAATTCTATAGAAATATTCACTACTAGTACTTGCTAAAATAATACTTGACAGCACTTAACATCAATTTAAAGTAAAACTGCAGAAATCTGAAAAATATCAAAGCATACAATAAACCCTTATCTGGATGTTTACTCAACAGCCCTAATATACATCACAGTGTAAAATAATTCTATTCATATTTCTGACCCTAAAACAATGGAAAGACATTCTAAGGAACTTCCCAAACTGTTCATATACACATATATATGTATATGTATATGAATAGATATAATATTATAGGATTTATTGACTTTCCAATTCTTTGAAGTGTGACTAACATTTACTAACTTTAATATTCTACTTCCCCGATGCTGTTAGCTGCTTAAAGTGACAGACTAATAGCGTTATACTTCAACACTACATTGTTGGTATATATACCATCTAAAAAATGAAGTGCCAAATATATAATAAAGAAAAGACCTACCACAAAGCAAAAAAAAAAGCTAATTTTTGCTACTTGAGTTGCAGTCAGTTTCCCCACAGTTTTCAATATGGATTCTTGTTCTTTCACAGTAGGATATGACATGCGAGACAACTTTGCTTCTAATGCATGGCTTGATGGGAGCTGTCGAATCTCCATAATATTGCTGAACCTTACCCGAGACTTTTTGGGAGCTTAAAAAGAAATTATAGTACAAAATCATTAAGTGTATCCTTTCGTCCAACAAAAGCCAATTTTAGTTTTTAATAATAAACGAATATTATTTAGTTCATTTATAATCAGAGTAAGACAAAGAAAACCAGTTATATTATTACCTCGAGTAGTTTTGTTTACTCAAGAGTTAACAGGAACAAATGATTTTATCTATAAAATGTTTTTAAAAATTTTAAATGAGACCAACATTCAAAGTTTCTGCATTTAAATACTGACAAATCAAGTATCTGACAAAGGACTTGTGTCTAGAATAGATAAAGAATTTTCACAACTCAATAACAAAAAGACAAAATATGGGCAAAGTATTTGAATACAGATTTCTCCAGTGAAATACATATCCAGTGAAATCCAATAAGGATTTCAGTCACAATGAAACACCACTCATACTCACTAGGATGTACAGAATAAGAAAGAGAAATAACTACATCTGGCAAGGATGCGGAGAAAGTAAAACACTTATACAAAGCTTATAGGAATGTAAATGGCACAGCCACTCTGGAAAATAGCACGGCAGTTCATCAAAGTGTAAATCAGAGCTACCATTTGACCTGGCAATCATATATATCCAAGATAAATGAAAACTTATCTATCAAAAAATAAAAAGCCACCTGTACACAAATACTCACAGTTCATTATAGCCAAAAGGTTGAAAGAATCCAATGTCCACCAACTAAAGAATGGATAAACAAACTATATATGGTATATAATATAGGTGGAATGTTATTCCACCATTAAAAATGAAGCACTAACTGGTTATAAATGAAAACATGAACAAGAATATTATTCCTAGTGAAAGAAACCAGCCACAAAAAGCCACATATTATATGATTCCATTTATATAAAATGTCTAGAATAGACAAATCCAGAGACAGAAAGTAAAATTGTGGTTGGCTATGGCTGAGGAGATAGGTGTTAGGGTTTATGGCTAAAAGGTACAAACTCTCTTTACAGGTGATAAAAAAAAATCTAAAATTGTTGTTGTTTGTTCAATTAGTGACGTGAACATGCTAAAAATCCCTTAAACGTATACTTTAAATGCATGAATTATATAATACATAAATTATATTTCAATAGAGTCATTATCAAATATAAAAAATAGTTTCTGCATTTGTATACATACACAATCACCTGGTTCAGGATTTTAGTATGATTACTATTTTAGCATTTATAATAAAACTTTATTTGAATTTTCTCAGGAATATTCAACTTATAAGAATTACTTTCCTAGACAAGTATGCAGAATATTTCTCTCTATATAGATTAATTCTTTGCAAAGGAATTTATGAATAAATATTGTATATTTCATTAAAACTGATATTTTTTATTTAGTAAGTTCATAGAACCGGCAAAAACTACTATAATTTACTAGTAGGGTCTTTCGGGGCATGTTGGAAAGAAAATTATTCGTGTTTTATTATATAGTTTGATGAAATCATAGAGATTTATGGTATTTGGAAATTATTTCCAATTGAATTAATATAAAATCTATCCTGTATCAGATTCATGTTCCAATCAAACTTTCAGAAGACTACAGGCCTAGTCAATCCACAAAATCACTAAGTTCTGGGATGGCTTTAATGAAACAAAATTTTCATCCATTCTCAGTCATAAAATTCTAAGTTTTACTCACTCTTTTCAGGATCAATATTTGTGCTCTCGGGTTTTTCACTTGGAAGATCATGAAATTTCACAGGAACATATAAAGGTTCACTCTGGGAAGTAAAATAAACAGAAACAAATATAAACATAAATATAAGCTAATATATTGGCTAAATACAAATGAGTGGTACAACAGACACAGATACCATCCAAAACATAGCTTTAATCAGTATGTTTATATGGCATGACTTTGCCAAAATGCAAGTTAAAAATTTAAAACCAATCCACACAGGTACAATGACAGGAAAGAATCAGTTTTAAAGTTTAGAAATGTAAACTTTGGCACAGTAAGACATAAAATGTCATAAATGACATAAAAGGAAACCTTTGTCTCAACTAACAGATTATCTTCTGTCTCTGCATTCATTCTTTTAAAAAATACATATTGAATGCCAGGCGCAATGACATAGACTTGTAGTCCCAATAACATAGGAGGCTGATGCAGGAGGATGGCTTAAGCCCAGGAGTTTGGGAATAGCCTGGGCAACATAAACAATACCTTGTCTCCCAAGAAGAAAAAAAAAATACTGTCATACTGTGCTTCTACTTGTGAGACACTGTTCTAAGCCCTGGAGATAAGGATGAGAAAAGACAAAGTCTCTTCCTCAATGATCATATATTCTAAAGGGGAAGGTAGACAATAAACAGATAATCAAATATACCATATGTATTTATATTTGCCTGATTATTTTAGGTGATTTTAAATGTCCATATTTTTAGGTGATTCTAAATGCCTCAATTGTTTTGGCAAATGTTCTTCAGATGGTCTATATTTAAAACACAATTCCCCACTAGGCTGTTTCTTAAACATTAGTAGATTTTAAAATTTTCTTTAATTTTTCTTTTAATTCTTGGTATAGAAATCTTATAATAAAGCATATTCAGTAAATGAAGAGACAATATGGTGTGGAAATAGACATAATCTCTGTTATATTGAACTTTTCATTTGTAACATTTGGCCTAAAGCAATTTGACATACTTATCTTAGAGATAATAGCAAGATGTAAGAATAGTTAAAAAAACAAGGCTGCCATCTCAACTCCACCTTTTGTACTGAAAAAGTAAATAATATTAAACTATCCAGTCAATGCTTAAGATCCCAGAGAAAAGAAATGGCATTTTCTCCAAACTTCATAAACTCTTAATAGTATCTAATAGTATCTACTCAGCATGCACCAATGGTACCAAAAAACAAAAAGATTGTACTATCAATTAGGTCACCAAGACAGTGAGTGCTTCACAAATAGGTATTACATTTTACAGTGACTTTAAAATTTTTCTCACATTTGAAAAGGAGTACTGTCAAAAAGGCATTTAAAAGAGATGCTTTAGAGATGGTCTGAAAAGAATGGACTTTAACATATTATTCTCTTCCATTATATTATAAATAGTTAACATAAGCCATATTATCAGAACCTAGAACATGTGCGTCATACCTATCAGGTACTTTAAAAAAATTGTGGAATAAATGAATAAACAATTTGCTTATATAGTCTCAATATCAAGCAAAAAAAAAATATGCTCCCAAATGATGATAACAGTGAGCACGAAGTTGAAAAGTTTGTAAGAAACAAAGGATCGTCCTTTATTATTTTCACTCTTTAACTAATATCCCTTTCCCCCCTCTCTTTAGAGGCAGCTTATCTGTAGGCCCTAGATCTCCCTGGAAAGAAAGTACCAAATTACAACTCTCATAGAGGGCACCCAATATTGAGCTATGTCTCCTAATATAGCTGTGGTGCTATCAGAGCTGTTTGAGTCTTCCTGCCACACTAAATGAAAAAAGCCACACTTACCAAAGAACTATTCATAGTAGTATCTGTTGTGCAAGCAGCAAAGTAACCTTCAGCATCCGCAAACTACATACAGATAACAAGACATAAAATTCAATTAAACTCACAGCTCAAACAAATTGAACCAAAAATTCAAAATAAACCTATAAGAATATAACTATTATTAATATTAACAGCAGCAAATGCCAAGTATTCAACCCTGCAGAGGAGGTATTATCATTTTCTCTTTATGATAAAATAGAGGTTAAGAGATTTCATCTAAGTAGCAGGGCAAGGACTAAAACCCAAGTTAGAGGGTTAGGGTCATGGTTCAGTGATATAGCACTTGCCTAGCATGTGCTAAGATCTGGTTTCAATTTTCAATATCATCAATAAAAAAAAGGGAGAGGAAAAAAATTTAAAAACCCAAGTTAGTTGTCTAATGTTAAAGTTTATGCCCTTTTCACAAAACTATTATACTATTTCAAGAAGGGAAAGGATGAGTGGGTCAGTTTTAAACAGACAGTAATATCACAGTATTGTTAGAGAATACATTTGACCTTATGGATTCACTGAATGCATCTCAGGGACTGGAACACACTTTGAAAATCACTGTTCTAATGTGGCATTTGGTAACTAAGGCAAGTAAGGTGTGGCTGGAGGAAGTGAATCACTGGGGGCATGGCTTTGGGGTATATATCTGATGAGCCGAGTTTGGTCTTTCTCTTTCCTTCTTGGTGCAATGTCCTGAGCCACTTTCCTCCACCATATTCTTCTGCCATGATGTTCTGCCACACCTTGAACCCCAAAGAATGGAGCCAGCCTTCTATCAACTGAGACCTTTGAAACCATGAACCTACAAATAAACTTTTCCTCCACTAATTGTTCTTGTCAGCTCTTTTGGTCACAGCAATGAAAAAACAAACTAAAACACAGTGTTAATTTCATTTCACTCCCTCAACAGATATCCTTTCAGTATCTCTGAAAGTCCCAAAAGGTTAAATAACTTGCCCAAGATCACACTACTAACTAGAGCATGACAAAACACAATTCAAACATAAGAGACCAAGCTCTTAATCAATTTTTTTTAAATGGAGTGAAAACAGAAACATGGGCAAGACATAGTAACCAAAAAAACAAAAGAATTCTACTACCCAACAAATATGTGAAAAGGTAACTCAAAACATGCAGATTAAACAATACATTATTATCAACATATCAGATTGCTCGGATTTTAGTAAGAGTTAAATATCATACATTGCTAAGGAAAATATGAATTGGTGCAAACATTGCAGATGGTAATTTAATAATAAGAATCAAAGCTTTAAAAATGGCATTACTCTTATCCAGCATTATACTCTCAGAAATTTATTCCAATAATTATAGATTTGTATAGGATATTCCTACTTACTATATAAAAGCAAAAGTGGGAAAAATATGTCGAGAATGAAATAAAAGGGGAAAAGTAATAAATTTTACTTATTTGCCTGGAAAGCTTCATGACTCATAAATAAAATACAACCTGATAAGAAAATGATAAAAACTAAGTCAATTTCTTTTATACAGAATTTTTAATATAATACACATAAGTATATAACTATAGATAAAATCAAATATTTACAGCAATCTTGGGATGGTGGAATTATAAACAGACTGTTCTTATTCTTGTTACTATAATTTATCTTCAACAATAAACATTTATAACTGTTACAATTATAAATACTTAACAAAAAATGTTCTAATAATACTAAATCCTATAGTTTTTCATCATATACTATTAATGGAAACAGTAAATTACAAAATAGGCCAAAAACTGTACAATTCCATTTTTATAAAAAATAAAATGGAAAAGAAAGATTGGATATATGTGCCAAAATACTGTCAGTAGTTATCCTTGAATGGTACAATATACTACATTGTATATGCATTTCTATAAGCATATGCATTGGTTTTCCAAAATAAGTAATACACATTCAGATTTTTGTACATTAAATTTTATGTTTGACAAAATTAGGTTTTTCTTCTATTCTACCATTACCCACTTACCAAACTTAAAATATGAATGACCTTAAAGAAAAAATACACCCTTTCCCAACAAATAAAATTTAAAACTTACAAATGCAGCATGCTTTCCTCGAAACCCTCTTGTGCACTGTTGCCTCCATGGCTTCCAAATAATAAAGCCCAAAAGGTACAAAACGAACATAGATGTTTTTGCAAAGGTGCTGAAGAATGGTTTGTTGTACTGAGTAAAAACATACTGCAGAAGAAAAAGTTACATAGACAACTATGAGATGACCTTAAACTCTACTACTCATCACAATAAAATAAAACCATTATGTGATTTTTATCTCTTTAAATAAACCCAGATAAGAAAATGATAAAAACTAAGAACTTTAGAAGTTCACTTGGATGGGAAAAGCCAAAAGGAATTATAAAAATATTTTATATTCATTTCTGAATATTGTATTTGCTTTACCTATAAGGGAAAACATTGCTAAACAAAGTAGCAACAGCATTCAAAAAAAGCTTTTTCAACATCCACTAACAACCTATTAGGCAAAGGACCTATGCTAGGGGCTAAAGAAAATTTTTAAAAAGCTTTCTTGCCCTTTAGGAGTTTACAATCTAATAGAGAAGACACATTGTGGGAGGCCATCCTCCCACGTGATTTGGGTTACTTCCCTGGCTGGGTGAGAGGTGCTTAGCTTTAAAAGAAGTTTAACTAAAATACTTTGAAATACATGTCAAATATATAAAATACATAAAAATCTATGAGCTTATAATGATGCCAAAAAATTCTCAATTGTTACTACCAAAAGTCGTTAAGGTAATTCTACTCTAAAATATGGGCTGGGGATGTGGCTCAAGCGGTAGCGCGCTCGCCTGCCATGCGTGCAGCCCGGGTTCAATCCTCAGCACCACATACCAACAAAGATGTTGTGTCTGCCGAGAACTAAAAAATAAATATTAAAAATTCTCTCTCTCTCTCTCTCTCCTCTCTCACTCTCTCTTTAAAAAAAAAAAAAAATTCTACTCTAAAATAAACAAAGGCAGAAAAAAATCAAGATTTACCCAATCTTTTGTGTATAAACCATGCTTAAGGATAATTAGTAGTTTTGGAAAAATAATACTTAAAGAATTCCAACTAATAAATACAGAAGAAATGGTCCTTAGAAAGATCATTATTTTGCAACCCAATGAAATACTCTTATCAGGGCAATAGTCATATGTTTATTCAATCATCACCTAAATTTTAATGAAGAATTTTATAGCACATAAATCTAAATAACCCAATATGAGACCTACAGTCATTATGTGCCTAACTCAGTATTTATGGGCCTTTGTTTGTGATGTTTTAAGAAGTATCCAGTTCTTTCCTGAAAACTCAACCTAAATCAAGACCTTACAACTAACTACCATCTTACGTGTCATAAAAGGGAAACAAGAAAAAATGTAATTACCTCCACAAGGAGGCAATCAACAAAATTAAGATGTATATTTTATAGGAAAATTGATCCAGCTTCTCCAACAAACCAATGGCATAAGAAAAAAAATTAAAAAGAGGAGATACACTTGAGAAATAAGTGACTTAAATGATAGAACAAAAGCAACATGTGGTCTTTGTTTAGATTCTAAACACCTAAAAAAAAAAAATCCTTGTCACAGCTGAAAATAAATTGAATATAGACTAGATATCTGGTGATTCTAAGGAATTATTGTTAATTCTATTAGATATGTTAATGGTATAGTGATTGTAGGGGTTTTTTAAATTTATTTTTTAGTTGTAGTTAAACACAATTCCTTTATTTATTTATTTATTTATTTATTTATTTATGTATGTATGTATGTATGTATGTGTGGTGCTGAGGATCGAACCCAGGGCCTTGCACGTGGTAGGCAAACACTCTATCGATGAGCCACAACCCCAACCCCAAATGATTGTATTTTTTAAAAAATAAAAGTTGCTTTTCTTTTTGAGGGAAACAGAAAAAAAGTTATACAGCTGGAATTTATTTTTAAATACTCTAAGCAGCCAGGTATGCTGGGACATTCCTGTAATCCCAGTGAATTGGGAGGCTGAGGCAGGAGGATTGTAAATTCAAGGACAGCCTGGGCAACTTAGCAAGATCATCTCTCAAATGAATAAAAAGTTATGGGTATAGCTTAGCACTCCTGGGTTCCATCCCACATACCACAAAGAACAACAAAAAAAAGTACTCAAGGAAAAGTTTTGAGCAGGATTGATAAGCTCAGAAAAATTTCGGAACGTAAATGATAGATACACAGAAATTTTTTATACCACTCTATCTACTTTGCGAGTTAGAACTTTTCCATAATGAAAAGACTGGTTTTCTTTTTGAAATACACAATTTATCTGAAAAGTATGATAAGCTTATCTGGTTGAAGAATTAAGATATATTACCTGTGCTCTTGGATAAGAAAATTATAAAATCTTATTAAAACAGTTTGCTTTTTTTAAAAAAAAAAAAGGGGGGGTGTTCTGGCTTTATTGAGGTATAATTCACAAAAAGTAATGATCTGTATATTTTTATTAGAGCTTTCCAGTTATATATAGTAGTTGGGTTCATCCCGACAAACTCATAAATAAATGGAAATAAATCTATTTCAGTTCATAATCCTCCCTTTTCCTACCCCTTTTTCTTCCAATCCTCCTTCCCCACTCCCATTCCCCTTCCTCTACTAGCTTTCTTTCACTTGCCTTTTAATTTATATTTGACTATTAATTTATATTTGGTTCTTCATATTATCCTATCCTTCCCTCCCCTTTATTTTACTCTAGCTTCCACATATAAGAGAAAACATTTGATCTTTCAGTTTCTGAATTCAGCTAATTCCACTTAACATGATATTCTCCATTTCCATCCATTTATTGGTAAATGCCATAATTTCATTCTTTTTTATGGCTAAGTAGAAATCCATTGATATATATGCCACAATTTGTTAATCCATTTATCTACTGACGGGCATCTGGTTGATTCCAAAATTTAGCTATTTTGACTTGTGCTGCTATAAACATTGATATGGTGTATGGCTATCGTATGCCAATTTTAGATCTTTGGGGAAAATAGCAAGGAGTAGGATAGCTGGGTCATATGGTGGTTCCATCCCTAGTTTTTTGAGGAATCTCCATGCTGCTTTCCAGAGTAGTTGTGCTAGCTGCAGTCCCACCAACAATGTACAAGTGTAACTTCCCCCCCTCAACCTCACCAACATTTATTGTTATGTGTATTCTTGATCATTGCCATTCTGACTAGAGTGAGTTAAAATCTTAGTGTAGTTTTGATTTGCATTTCTCTGATTGCTAGAGGTGTTGAATGAAAAAATAATTATATTTACTGTGTACAATATGGTGTTTTGATACATGCATACATTGTGAAATTACTACCAAAACAAGTTGGTTGGGGTTTTCTAACATTGTTTAGATACAAGTTGCTAAACTGGTGCTCTTTTTGTCCTAAATAAAATAATTTACTTGAAACTATAAAACTTAATAGCTAGGTTTAATTCTCTGTCAACATTAGATTTCTTTGAGGTAAAATTACAGAATGTTAATCTAAAAGAAGATTATAGAAAAGTTTTAAAGTGAAAAACAAATGGCCTGTTGTATTCCTAAGCCTGATTCCAAAAAGGCTAAAAATTATTTATTCACAGGATAGAATGCCAGGGTCAACTATTCACCTTTAGTTATGATGTGAGAAGATGTGCCCCTTTTGACATTTAAATTCATTTTATAAATACTCATTTCCTCTTTTATACTTGATGTGAGTTGAAATGGAGTTTATTCTAAAAATAAAAAGTTGCAGTCTTTTTTATAGGGATTATTAACCAGACAGAATTATGTTTACAAGTAGAAAGAAAAACTAGCTTGTGAACTCACAATACATTACGACCAACAGGCCATCAATAAACACAAAATTTAACTGAAGGCAATCACTGAATACTATTCCTTCATATAACGTTTGTATCAGCAAATATGTTAATGTAAATGTACCCAGGCATGCACATAAGTGACCTGTACATGAAAAGTCTGATCACTTTTATTCATTTGTCCAAAATTATGTGTGTGTGTGTGTGTGTGTGCGCGCGCGCGCACGCGCACGTGCATACACGCACATGGAATTGTGATGCTAGGAATTGAATCCAGGGCCCCAAACATGCTAAGCAAGTGCTCTACCCCTGAGTTACACCCCAGCCTAAAAGTGGTCTTACTTTCTATTAAATGCTGAAAGATTGCTTTGTATCCTGAACAGTTATTCACTATAAAATAATATTAATAGAGAAAGAAGTTGAATTTGGAAGGGAAAAAAAAACAACAAAATCACCTGCATATATTAAAATATATATATTCTCTCCTTTTATGTAACCCTCCCTACAATACACAAGAAAACTGTGTAAGACAACAAAGAACATGCTTTCAGTTTTAACTTGAAATGACACTAATCCAGTATTAAAGAAAACATAATAATTCGATATTTAAAATACTGTTTTAATGAGCATGATTTAGTAATGCCTAGAAATACTTTTTTTTTTTTTTAACATTAGCACTTTTACTATAACATCATTCCTGGAGAAAAGGTACATACCGAAGTAAGTTCCGAGGAAGCAACCCATATCACATCAACAAGCAGGAGAATAACAATCCCAAGAGCCATTCGCCTTCGCTGAGTAAAGCCACTGTTCTGGGAATTCATTCGGTTCATGATAAATACACACACCATTTGCAATCTGTTTTTTTGAAAATACACATCTAATTAGAAATGACTTCCAAAAAAAGAAAAAAAATGACTTCCAAAAGAAACCATATAAAAAAAATGAGAAAAGGAATGTAATAGAAACATCCAACATTTGTTAACTAATGTTCAGTATGAAAGTGATACAGCATACAAAAAGTGTAGAATTTACCTGGTTTTAATGGCCTCTCTTAGTTTCTCAAAAGCAAATCCTGAAAACTTGGCAGCTCTCAGTCTAAAAGGAGGTGAAGAACTCAGGGCACCTAAAAACCACAAATTGCTTATGAAAACACTGACAACTCAAGAATCATCACCTTTTTACTCACCTTCAAATTGAAAGAAAAGGAAAGAAAAATACCAAAAATGTGTTAAAATACAAAAGATACTTTTCTCTAGACTTTCATGTAATCCATTTTACAGTTCAAATTAATACTCAGATTAGTGTATGACATAGCGGGAAAGAAATATTTAAGAATAGTTAACTACTGAAAAATAGATTCTGAGAGTTTCACAGATAACAGAACTCCCACTGGCTTCTCCCTCCAGAGGAATCTACCCCGGGGACACTGTGTGGACACGTGCCCTTACCTAAGTGTTTCTTCTGTCCCTGATCTCCAGCGAAATGTGGTTATTTAAGAGGAAGTGATTTGCTGTGGGTCTTGCAGGAACCTTTCCGCTCAGCGTCCATGGTAAAGGAAAAGGAGCCCCATGGTCCCCCACCTACCCTGTCACTACATCTAATTATTTCGGATCGCCACAGCGATTTACGAGGAGGGTGGGGAAACAGCTGTTAAAAGGAATCCTCCTCTTTCGGAGTTGGTGGGTAGCGGGTGACGCCTCCTCAGGGAGCGTGGTCAATCTGAGGCGTCAATCACCAGCAGCTTCCCCTATTGCCAGTCCAGACCCTGCTCGGACGCCCATCAGCCTCCGGCTCTCCGGGTCCCCAGAGACCGCTGCCACTGCGGCCCGGAGGCGGGGCAGTTCGAGAGCACTGGGTTCTGGTATTGGCCCCAGGTGACTTCGGGCCTTTCCCTGCCTGCTTACCTGGCCTTCCTGCCCCGCGATGGCGTCCTGGCGGCACCATGAGCGGACCCGGCCCGGCCCTGCCGCCGCCTAGCGCCACGGCCGCGGCCTCAGACTCAGAGGGTCGTCTCGGCGCCAGACATCGCGCCGCGCAGGAGGCAGAGCCTCTGAAGCAGCCGTGCCCCTCAGGGCGAGGCCGTCGATGCCACTCAACTCCACTGGGCCCAAGCGGGCGGGGAGTGAGGAAAGCTAAGGGACAGCGTAGGTAGCGATGGCTGCAGAAGCCCGGAGCTCGGCCAGGCCCCGGCCCCGCCCCCGGCCGGCCAGCCCAGCGGCCCCGCCCCCGGCGATGGCGGCGGCGCACAGGTTACGTCACGTCGGCGCGACGACGGACCGCGGCGGGGCGCGTCTCCACGGTGACTCGGCGGCCGGGTGTGGAGTTCTGCCACCAACAGGGAACCCAGCAAGAAGGCGCGCCAGTGAAGGGAGGAGATAGGAGGGTAGAAGGTGGGAGCCAGGGCCGGTGGCTGGGGAAGTGCGAAGGGTTTAGGAAATGACTGAGGGTTTAAGACCGCCCTGACCGCTCCTTTTCTTAAGAGGGCAGGAAACTTAAAATATTCTTTCTGGAGAAGACAGAAGCAAAGATGGCTTGGGGTTACTTTGGATTTTTGGAGCCTTTTGTATGTGAACTAGATCCTAACTCCTGGAGTTTCAAGGTGTGCCCTTGGGCAAGCTCCTTATTATCCTGGCCCTCGTCTAAAAACTGGACAGAGACCGAGAGAGTGTGTGTGTGCGCGCTCCGCGACCGTCCACAATATCACACGTGTTTACAAACGTAAAGGATTAACCACATGATGCATAGTAAGGACTTCACAAATGTTAGTCTTATTAAAGTTTTTTTAAATACCTTAAATATCCAGTAAGAAAGGAGGCTTGGCCAGCATCCTGATTTGTATTTAGAAAACAAAAGCGAGACTTAAGGGTTCTGTAATTTAACTGAAAATGTCTACTACAAGTACATTTTTAACATTTTAATCAGATAATGCAGAGTAAATAAATCTTATTGTTCGTGTATGAAATTATATACATAATCTATGTATGTAGCATACTCTGGTATGTATAATTATATGCATGCTCTAGTGACAAATATCAATGAAGTTTTGTGTTGGTTAAATCAGTTTCTAATTAAAAGCATGAAGCACCTCTAATAAATCGTTCAGAAATTTATTTTGCAGAGTAGGAAAACTATAATCATCTACTTGAAATTATTGGGAAAATTTGTTTGCAGGCATTAATCAAAGTATTCCAAAATTAGATTATTTTTCTTAACATTCTTTAAGATAACAGGCTCATAATATGCATAAGAATTTTTTATGCTACATGTATGATGTATAATCTGAAAAAATAATAGTGTTGGGAATATCTCTCAGGATCTAAGAGTCCTAAAAACTGGGTTCTAATTCTTAATATGACCACAGGTTGTTATGTAATCTTGAAGATTATCAACATTCTATTGTGCCTCAGTGTCTCCGTCTATAAATATGGGCTTCTTACTTCAAATAATGCAAGCAATAGTATTTTATGTGTAAGTTACCATTATTGCCATGTATTTCCAAAGTATCTGCTAAAGGTCAGTGATACCAATATTTGTATGTTGGATAAAATATTTCTAGGCAGACTGATTTCAAGTAGTTTCAAAACTTATTTTAATTCTTGTATTAATGTTTTTTCCCTGGGTTCCATAAAGGAAGTTCCATGGAAGTATTCTATTAAAATAGACTCTGGTCTGGTTTCTGTGTTGTGGTACCAACATGACATTTTTCTCATTTCTCTCACAAAGGCTAAGTCCTCAGTTACTTCAATTTTTGTTCTTGAAATTGCTGTCTGATCTGATAAAGTCAACTCTCCCCACCCCTCGCTCCCCAAGAACTGGGGATCCAATTCAGGTTCTTGAACATGCTAGACAAGCACTCTACTGTCTGGCTAGTTTCCCAGGCTAGTATTGAACTGGGTTCTACAAGAGTAAGGACTTTTATTCTCCACTGTATATGTGTGTATGTACCTATACATATATGTATATGTATAGGTACATATGCATATATGTGTGTATGTACACAGCATCTATAACTTTCTTTTACAGAATTGGCAGTCAATATTTTTTGAACTTGAACATCCTATTGTCTCTTGCCCTTTTCATTGTATTTAATTCCTTTCCCAAATCTCCATTTCTTTTAGATTGGTAGCAGTTTTACTATTCTCATAGACCTTATCTTTTATTTTGATTAATTTTCTTTTTACTCTTCAAAGTTAATCATTTCTCAGGTCCTTTTGAAATCCCTATTGTCTCTTAAAATTCATCATATTATAAATCTGACACATTAAAAACAACAACCTGAAATGCAGTCTAGAGAATGTAGCTTCCCTAGTAAAGTACATATGCCACAATAAATGAATAGAAAACATCAATATGTGTGTGTATACAGGTTAGTCATTAACTAGTATACCACTCTTAAATAAGACGACGATTTAAATTCAAGCCCTTGTAAAATTTCAAATGACAATCTCCTGAATCTTTGGGGTCTCTAAGTTAATAGTTGGAACCAACTATAATAATTATGTGAATTCCAAGTATGGAAATAAATGAACATCCAAATGAGAATAAGCAAAGAATATGTACAATCAGTCTGTATTTGTGGGTTCCATGTTCATGGATTCAACCAACCATAGATGGAAAGTATCAAGAAAAAAGTCACATCTGTACTGAACACATAACATAAAGACTTTTTCTTATGATTATTCCCTGAATAAACATAACTACTTACATAGCATTTAATTTCTATTAGGTATTATAAATAATCTAGCAGTTATTTCAAGTATATGGGAGGACATATGTAGGTTTTATGCAAATACTGCACCATTTTATATATGGGGTCTTGAGCATCCTTAAAATTTGGAATCCAGGGGTTCTTCAGACCAATTCTAGGGATACCAAAGGATGACTTGGATCTGCAGTTTGCCAATACAGACAGCCACCATCACTTGTGTTTGGCAGTAACTCAAAAGGCAAGCAGAGCATTGTAAAAACTATAGTGGACTAAAGAAAAAGATTCAGGTACCAAGTCCTGTTCATTTATAATAGGTTATAAATGAACTGGTTAGTGCACAGGTCGTAGGTCAGAGTTCTATTTTTATATGTGGTTGATCCATTGTTTGCATATATGGTCTCTTGCAAGAATAAAACATATGTCTTATTCTCTGCAACACCTACCCGAATGCTGGAAACATAGTTGGTTTGATAAATATTTGTTGACTTGATTTGCTTCTAAGACATGGTTAAATGGATTGAGGTTCACAATTTTAAAAAATACATGTGTAAAAGACTTCTTTTAAATTTGAAACTTCATTTTATGGAGTAAATCATATGCTATGGTACAAATCATAAACTTGGGAGGTTCTGAGATATCTAAGGTTAACTTTAGTGTTATAATATGCAATTAAACTATAGATTTAGAGGGCAAGTTGGAAGGGCAAGATAGCAGCAGATATTTAAATAAAAGTTCCATAGAATAGGCGTTGATTCCCCTGTTGACTCATTGTCATGTTTTTAGTGCATGAACCAGAGTTCTGAGGACATAATCTCTTTCTGTAGGTATAGACAGGAAAGATTTCAAAAAAGAAGTGGAATCTGACCTTGATTTAAATACAGGAGAGGAAATTTTTTTTTCTTGGTTAAAGAAAAAAAATTCGTGACCAAGAGAAAAAGGTGTATCCAGAGATAGGTTATAAAACTGGTTTGACAGAGAACAGTTATGTATGTAGTGAAGTAATGGGAAATAAGACAGGTTAGGTGAGTTTTAGAGAAATGGAAACTAAGCAAGAGAGTTCAGACTTTTAATTCATATTGCAGTCAGAAAGCTGAGGGATTTTAGGTAAGAAAAACACTTTTGGACAAATACTCTACTACTAACCTATACCCCCAGCTAAAGAGAAATAAAGTTAACCAGATATTATTAGTTATCTGCCCAATGTCTACCAGTGTAGTGTTGTAGGAGTACCCATGGGGCCTGCCCTCAAATTGTGTTATAGATAAAACAGATCATGTAATTAGGCCAAGTATTTGCTAGGCTAGGAGATACTGAATCTAAATGCCTTTCATAGTATCCTCTTAGCACTCTGTATCATGCAGGACACCAAATTGGTGGATGTTTTGAAAATGGTCACTGGAGAATCACCTTCTTTTATATCTTAATATTGAAGGCATAGTGGTAAGAAACTGGGTAAGAAAGTAAAAGGCACATATAATTGCCTCATGTCTACCTTTTGCCTGAAAACAGTTCTATTCAGCTGAGAGGCCCATGTGAGCAAAGAAGAAGCTCATTTACAGCCACACCTATTTCCCAGCATGTTCTATTCCTCCTCAGCTTCTAACTTGTTCACTTACTTCCCATGTACTCTAATCCTGATATCTGATAATGCTTGCCCAGGACAACCTTGTCTCTCTTTTCTCATTTGCATCAATCAACACCTGAGCTCTTATCTTCTTCTACTTGCTAAGTGAAAAACCCTGCCTGAGCTGGATAGTCCCTGGAACCCTTCCCAACCCCATGTGACAAATGTACAGCCTAGATTTGCTTCTCAAAAAAGAACATCTAAACAAAAGTAACTAACCAGCCATATATGTAGCAAGTTGTTGTATGTGACTATTCCTCATTTGAGCAGATCTCCCCCACCCCCAAAACAAAGAAAAAAACAATAGATGGCAAAGATAGTCATGGTCTAAGGTGGGGTGTTACAAAATCCAAGTGAGATTTATAAAGGGGGTGTTTCAACCCAGTGTTATCATCAGGACAACATTCATGTCCAGGCTGTATATGTAAACTAGGAATCTATAAAGGGATTTGAAAAGATGGAAGAGAGGATTTTTTTAAAACAGTCATCTGGTGACCTGAATAGCCACCTCAAAAGAACATTCAAAGATATTGGCTTATATTCTCTGAAGTGTATGCTGAGTATGTGTTTGCTGAGGTACACCCCCAGTCCCTCCACAGTCTTCTTCAGTATTATCACAACATGGCAGCTTGCTGGCTTCTCCCAGAATAAGAAGTATAAGAGGGAGAGCAAAAAGGAAATCACAGTGTCTCTTTTGACCTAGCCTCAGAAATCACACCATCACTTTCCCCATATTGTATTTATTAAAAGTAAGTCACCAAGTCTAGCCCACATAAAATAGCAGAGAGATTGGGCTCTGAAACATAATGGCTTAAAAAATACTATTTCATAATTTATGTGGGTCAGGAATTTGGGGCTTAGTGTAGTGGTTCTTGCTCAAGGT